TATTTTGGTTCTAATTATAAGATTTTAATTCACTTTGTCTCTCATATTTATATATATTTTTTCAAAATAATCCTTTTAATAATATTATTTCTAATATTTTTGAAAAGATAGTACCTATTTATGTGTTTTTATTTGTCTTGTTTTTGTTCTTTTTAATGAAACGCTCCTAATTGACTTGATTGGATGTTGGTTCCATACAAGAGTAGTTTCACGCATGGAATCAGATAAACGTGCTTCTAACCAAACTGTGACTTCGGTAGTTTCGATGTGAAACCAAAGCTAATTACAACCACTTAAATTATATTTTAGTCCATAAGTCCTTATCAATTTAATTTATTGACACACATTATTATTTTGAAAATTAAATTTCATGGGTTCATATTTGAGAACATTTTGTCAACATTTGAATTTTTAATGATAATATATTTTTAAAACAAAACTAACAGTATTAGAGTTAAATAATTGAAAAAACCCTTCCTAAAATTAAAAAATTGAAACAAAATATTATTTAAAATTACAAAAACTAAATATATATCTTTGTGGTTTTTTTTTTTAACAAGAGCAAGTAGTAAAATACAAGACAAACATATTGTATAGGTTTACTTTTAACCGTGCAAACTTGCCAACAAATCCAATAGGCATGAGTTTAAATAGTAGGGATTTTGACTGTTAAAGCGCGAGGTTCTGAGCTTATATCAGTGTGAATGCCTAAAACCGTTGTGAGAGAATTAGCCCAATTATCAAATTTGTGAATTTAATTTTTAATATAAAATCAAACATGCTTTATAAATAACATTCAATTAACTTGTTAATGAGGTTCGGGTCACCTTTATGTCCACTTGCCACGTCTAAGTATCTACTCCTTCGGTCCTAAATATAAGACCCTTATACTAGTGTGTATAAAGGTCTTACATTTAGGACCGGAGGAGTATAAACAAAATTCATTTGCAAATTTTTAAGGATAGCTTTTTTGGGGGAGGGGGAACGTGAAAGTAAATTTTTTAAGGAAAAATAACAAAAAATATCTATTAAATTTTAAAATGATAAACAGGGATCAGGTCAAAATCAATAAAAAAAAGTACTCAAAACATTTGCAAGAGTAATGAGCAATCTATTTATCTTTTTAAAATTTAATAGGTATTTTTGTCATTTTTCCTTATTTTTATGTCATTATTATAAAAATATAATGGGTTTAACATGCAACTTTGCCTTTGAAGTTGGGTATAAAGTTTTTTTTTTTACTGAAAATTTAAAATCGTAACAATATTATACCATACTGTTAAAAACTAACATTAACTGTTAAAATAATGATATTGACAGTTAGTATTTTTAATAATAGGAGACAATATTGTTATGATTTTAAACTTTCAAAATAAATTTACACCTAAAAATACTTTTAAATGCCTAGCGCTCATGAGTAAAAAGTTTCAGAACAAATTTATGTCTTAACTCAAATATATAATAAGGGATAATACAATTAGTGTTAAATAATATTAATAAAAACTAAAAACTTATTTTACTATTTTTTTACCCTAATTTTGTTAACTTCAAAAGCGAATTAAAAACGTACATGCGTTTTTGTCTGTTTTGTTATGAGGAGATGATGACTTTTAATTTTTTATTTCATTTGATTTATTTAAGGTACTAAAAACCGGACCGGTCACTAAACCGGTCAAGACAGTGGTTCAAGGGTTAGTAGGTCAGACCGGAGTCAAACTGGTAATAATTAATATATTATAATTTAATTAAAACACATAAAAATATTTATATTTTAATTTTGAAAACAAAGTATTCAGTCTTTAAATAAATATATAAATTACAAAACATTTATATGTACAAGAATTTTCTTTTCCATGATTTTTTTTTAATTTCTTCTCCTACCTATCACCTGTATGTCCCTCTTGCTTTTTGACTTTTCTCTTTGTTATTCTCCTTCTTTCACGTGATCACTTGCCTCTCTCCTCTTCTCACGCATTACGAGTCTCAGTAGCTAGGATGGTCTTTTCATTTAAGCTTCCTACGCTTCAGCATTCAGAGCGCATGTTTCGAAGGCAACATTCTTTTACATTTTGTTCTCTCTTTCTTCACTGGCGTCCATGGCTTTTCCACACAGATCTAATAGGCTCTTTGTAAAGCATGATGGCAACAGTTTAATGAGTTGCAGGGAGATCTTGCCACTGAGAAGAACGACAGTGAGGAAACAGTCACAGCGGCAACGGAGTTCAACTTTCAGAGCAGAATCCGGCGACGGTCTGGTCTGTCTCTCTCTCTCTCTCTCTCTCTCTCTCTTTTTAAAGTTTCTGAGCATGGGAAGCTTTGAAAAAAAAACCCGGCTAACCCATCCAGACTGGCAGGTTACCCGGGTTAATCCCGGTTTACTCCGAATTAAACCGAGTCATGCCGGTTCACTATGATCCCAGTTTTGTTAACCAACCGGAGTGGACAAGTGACCGGTTCGCCGGTTTCCGGTTTGAACCGGCCGGTCCGGTCCGGTTTTCCATACCATATTTATTTCCGCATCAAGCCCCGCTATTGTGAGACACGCATCATTATCAAGATTTTAGATCCGTCACATTCCCCCTCCCTCGCCGGCCGCCGGTACTCCGGAAGTACATTTCCAATTTTGTCCACTTGAAAGCACTATATCCACTAATACAGACGTACTAGCAATTATCAAGTCAATGGTCAAATACGTACCTCAACACGTATGCGGTTGTAAGCATCAAGAGGGGAGCATGATACACTACAATACTACTTCCTATTCTAATTATAAAATCTTATTTGTAGTCTATAAACAGAGTTTTATAATTAAAACCTAAAGTAATATTTAATTCAGGAGAATAGTCATTCAATTTTTTGTTATTTATTAGATTAAGTTTTTTTAATCTCACATCATCATGTATTTTATTTTTTATGTCAATTCATAATAAAATAATATTCCTCCGGTTCTTAATATAGGACCCAATTGTTGAGTTGGTTTTGGTCCTCAATATAAGACTCATTTCTCCTATTTATTAATTTTCTCTAAATTATTCCTATGGATACTCCCTCAATCATAATCAAGTAGAAGAGGAAGATGGGGTATTAAGAAAGATGATAATAGTATTTTAGAAAAAAAAACGTGTTATATTTCTTATAATCAACTAATTTACCTAACTTCTTTAATCTAATCAAATTAGTTAAATAGGTCTTATATTAAGAACTAGAGGAGTAATATTTTAAAATAGGATAACTTAAAATATAACAACGTTGTTGTCTTCATATTTAAGCTTTGAGATTTTTTTTTGCCCATTAATTATTCAGATTATGCTTTCTGGAATTTTCTTTTCGTCCGTGTCCCATTTGAATGGGTATCGACCAGCTTCTGCGCAAAAATGAGCAGTTTCGATGAAGTTTCTGAGACATAAAGACTGAAGCTAACAAACTGTATGGAAAGGCCTGAAAGTTGCACAAGAAAAATAAATAGCCAATACTTGATCGATCTTTGGCTAGTTATGGAATTCATCTTGGTCAAAATTTGAAATTTAAAAAGATGATGTCACGTTTGTTAGAATAATAATTTATTTTTCTTTCTTAATATAAATTAAATAAGTAGTTCCTCTATTAAAAACTTATCAAGTCTAATCTCGCTGCCATAGACTTGATTTAAATGAATGCCAACAATATTAATTGTGATGATGAAATAATTATTTTTTTTTTTCAATAGAGGAAAGGTAGTTAAAGACTACTATGGGCTAAATAACAGTTAATAACAACAGCTCGATGACGAGGTCAATCTTACTCGTGTCCACTAGCTGGCTAAGCGCGTTTCTATTAAAAAATAATAATTCAAGGATAAGCTTGTTTGAAGAAAATATGGATGAAAATTATTTTTAGGACAACGCTTATATCAAGTTTTTCATATTTATTATATCAAATTTTTCAATCACACACAATCATATGTGTTATTTTTGAAATATTATCATTTGATTATAAATACAGATAAAATAAAAAAAGACATATGACCCTGTATGATTGAAGAATTTGACATGAATATAAAAAATTTGAACTAAGTATTTTTCTTGGTAAAACAACTTATAAATTAAAAAGTTAATACTTTTTGTTTGACAAAAGCGCTCTTCAACAAGGAAATAATTTTTTAATTAATTTTAATAAAATCACACTGATTAGTGATTACCAATACCCACTGCTGAATAATTTGTGTAATACTTGGAACTAATTGAGCATTCAAATTGAAGTTAGCCCCCATTCCTTGATATTGTTGTTTTGTTTGGCTTTGTTGCCTTGTTTTGTTTAATCTCTCTGTATCTCATTGAAGTTTGAGTACAAAAAGAAAGTGAAATAAACTATTCTGTTATCTATCCAATATGATTAACATCATGCCATTAATAAATTATCTTTCCTTTTTTTTAAAAAAAAAGATTAGGTGAGTAGAATAATTTACTATAATTATCTCGAATTAACGGCTCTATCCTAAAATGCTAAGCTTAAACACAATTCCTTAAAAATCATCATGTTTCGATAAAAAAAAATATTGTGCTAACGCAAATGAAGGTTTATCTTGTACGTTGTCAAGCATGCGATTCATTTTGTATAAGGACATGTTTGAATATCGCGATCAAGGTCAACATTTTATCAATAGATGATTTATATGAGTATTATCCTGGTTTTAATAAGCTCCCAAAACTCAATACGTGTAATGTAAACTTTTGTCAATTTATAAAAAAAAAAATAGTAAGAAGTGAACCGACCAAAAAAAAAATTATTTAGTCATATATATGACTTTGAGTGATCATTTATTGAAGACTTACAGCACAATCATTATTTTGATGACAGTATCTGTATTTCACGAGGTCACCTAAGTGTCAAATGGCGGTTAAATTATGTTTTGATCGTTAGATAGCGTTAACTAGACGCTAGAGTCGCTGATACAATACTTTCAGCTCTATAAATGTCCATCCCTTTTCCTGAATCAAAAGCATTTATCTCTTCTTTGCCGTTTCCCTTGACCCAATCCTTGAACACTCTTTCAATCTCCTTCTACCTCTGTCTCTCTTCTTCTCTCTTTAGCCTGCAACTATGAAGCTTTGAATTTCTCTAAAGTTCTCGTCTTTCTTCTTCTGGGACATTTCCGTGAGTCACTATCTTTGCTCTTTTTAACATATCCTTCTAATCCCCAGTGTTGGTGTTTTTCAAGTTTTGGTGCGTGAAACTGGTATCTAGTTTTCTGTTATATGCTTTCATAGCAGTACAGTCTTTTTGGGGTCGCTATGATTTCTGGTTAGGATCTCAGTCATTCTATTTCTGAGTCCAATCCATGGGATTAAATCCATTAGCTCGCACTTTGGCTGCCCAAATTTTTATCTGATTCTTTCCTTGCCTTCAATGCTCTCCCCTGAAGTTATTTCCTGACTTGATTTGAAATTTTGAATGGATGCTTAACGAAGTTTCTTCCTTCTCTTTTTAACAAGAATTCATCCCTGAGCAAGGATACTAATAAATCTTTAATCATGTAACTCTCAAGTCAATGGTTTAAAGTCATGTAAACCAGCATGCTATATGCAAGAGAAATTTGTATTGCAGATCTTCATGACAATAATCAGCATCTTCTCTGAAAGACTGATTAGATTCTTAGTCCCGCCCCGATTTTCTTCCTATTACATAATGCTTGATTTCTATGGGAAATCAATTATCTCTTGAAATGGAATATAAGACTAACTAGTATTATTCATTATTTTTGCAGACATAAAGCGACGCTTGAGAAATTGCCAATTCAGGCATATATTTCATGCATTCAGGCATTTAGGACCATAAGTGAGCAAAATTTTCCCATACTGAGATGGTTACTGAATAGTTACTGATTATGCGATTTTGTTGTTTTACCCTGTTTATTGATTTAAAGATGATTGTTGAAACTTGACACCACAGCAAATGAAATTGTCAGGTGCGCTTTACTATAGGGCATGGCTTCGGGTTTGGTGATTCATGACACGACAAGAGACAAGTCCTCTTTGGGGAAAATTGTGATTGATAACAAAGACTTACTCAGCAGTTTACATGACAACATTCTCGGTCACATCCTATCTTTTCTTCCTGCAATAGAGGCCGTCCGTACTAGTGTATTATCTAAAAGGTGGATTCATGTGTGGAAGTTAATTACCAGCCTTCGGTTTGATGATGCTATGCTTTATTCTGGGAAGAGGATTCCGAAAGAACACTTCATAAACTTTGTGAACAACACACTCTTTCTTCTTAGTGATTCAAGCATCCCTAATTTCTCTCTCGGTCTGTCGCGTTACCTGTATGATGCTTCTCAGATTAATGCATGGATCTCTTTCATTTTGGAAAGAGGGGTCCGAAATCTTCGTATTCAGTATGCTGATAAAGTCCTTCTTTCTTCTAATTCTCTTTTTAATTGTAGCTCTCTAGAGCATTTAGTGCTTCAAATGAGATGTACTCTCAGTGTTCCTTCATCTGTTTGTCTCCCAAACCTTCAGTACCTAAGCTTTTCTGGGATTAGGCTAGTGAGTGATCCATCTACTTATTCAAAAGATCAAACTCTTAGCTTTCCAGTCCTCAAAGCTTTTGAGGCTAGAGGATGTGAATGGTCAATGCAGAATGTTAGTATAGAGGTGCCTCAACTTCAAACCTTCTCCGTAGCATTCTGGAACAGCCTATCCAATGAGTCAAGTAGGTGTTCCATCAACATTTATGCTCCAAATCTAACTGATTTCTCGTATGAGGGCGATCTAGAACATGAAGTCATTCTATCAAACCCGTCATCCATTATTAGTGCTTCTGTTGTGATTGTTATTGATGAAGACATAAATGATGGAATACAAGAAATCAGTACTCGGGCACATATGCTTCTCAGACAATTTCACGAAGTGGAGAGCCTAAAATTGTGGTTTTACAAGGTATGCTTCTTTTCATGATATAAAATAGTAGTTGTGTACAATGTTTCTAGTAATTTTGACTGTAATTCCACGCCATAAACACTTGTTTCTATAGAAGGGTTCGATTATAACTAAACAGGTTTTTCCTTGTCATGAAGGTACCTATGCATGCTAAAGATGTTTTCACCAATCTACCTGCATTTGGAAGACTGAATTATCTGCAAATAAACGAGGTTGCTGGCGAAGCCCTATTGAACTTACTCCACAACTCACCAATTCTTAAAACTCTTGTCTTGCTTCATGTAAGTTTAGGGATCTTTCTTAATTATTGGATTTTTATACTCCTTGTTTATGTGTTTGTTAAAGACAGTCGATGATAACTGACAAACCAATGACAAAAATTTCAGGGAGTATCCAAGTTTGATAAAGATCTCTTGACTTCAGCATCAGTGCCTCACTGCTTTCAGTCTTGCCTCAAAGTTTTTCAGTTTGGAGGATTTAACGTGCATGAACATGAACTCTCTCTAGTAAAATTTGCAATGGCAAATGCAGCAAAGTTGGAGAAGATGACTATAACCACAGCATTTTGGCTGCAGTACTCAGACATTAACATGGAGAAAGTTAAAGAACAACTGCTCTCATTTCCCAAGTGTTCAACTTCTGCATCACTTGAATTTGCCGATGTCAATGGTGTCTTAAGATAATGAAAAGGCCCATAATCGTTCTGCAAGTATGCTTAACACTTAATGAATGTCTCTTTCACATTGTACTGCATCTTTTTTCTGATTATAATTAAATCATTTATCAGCCTGCGCTTGATAACTTCGAGGTTTTCAGGTTATACTGATCCTTGACCTGATATATTGGTTACTCACTGCCTGTACAAAACCTGTTTTGAGGAATGTTCCTTGATATTCCAAAAAATCAGCAATGTTTTCTTGGGAATCCATCACATTTTCTATTTTGGTCTTGGTTTGCACATAAATTTGTTCTAAAAAGTGACTAGTATATATAACTGAGAGGAAGTTCCGGTTAAGCCCAAAGACGCCCATGTGTATTAAGCATAATCAAAACATTCCCGTACATAACGGTATTCCCTGAAGCAATTGACAGCCTCACAACAATACGTGCAACGTACTCGCCCATGATGCTTGGCATTCATGATAATGAAGGCTGACATCTGACATCTTCTATTATTAGATATACGTTGATATTTTATCATTACTTTATTGAATTGAATCATTGAAGGAAGAATTTCGACATGTCTGTAATAAACCTAAACAAAGCATTTAGTAATAAACAGGTGCTGAGCAGAAGCCAGTTGAGCATGGGACGACTTGAAGGTGATCAACTCGAATATAAGAGAAGGGAATAGTGGGATGAGATTTTATTTTTGGGGTGAAATAACGGAATGAGTTTTGTACGTATAAACGCCTGAATCTTTCTTCCTCTCTTCATATGGCTGAACTTTGGCTAGACGAAGAAAATGGAGTGGGAGACACGGGTCATGATTCTTTTCTTCTAATAAAAAACACTAATATGATTTATTCAAAAGTTGGTTACTTTTAATTTTCCTCCCTTCTCTTTTTATTTTTCTTTTTGTTTTTCACTTGCACCTGAAACTGAATAGCTAGAACCATATCAGGAAAACCACCCAAAAAAAAAAAAAAACACCAACATGAATCATTTTCAAACATCAAACAAGCCCGACTGAATGCTGTAAAAACTGAACACTGAGAGTGTCAGGTATTCACAATAGGACCAATACTAGGATCACTATTTTGAAATCCACTGTACATAAAGATATACTTGTAAACATTTTTGTGAGTACTTCTCTATTCATACAGAATCTCACTTTAGATAGTTTTCTCTCTGCACTCCCATAAAAGCATATCATGCTCTGATCATTTGCAAGCTTCCCAGCACCTTTGACTCCAGTACTCCTTCTGCTTGAGATAACCACATTTCCACTGTCTATTGCCTAGGTTTTGAGTTTAAGGGCAGCACTGCAGGAATTTCCACATCAAAGATGAATTTCAAGACAAGGATGAGAATGCATGAACAACGTACAGGTTTACAATTTACCTGTTGATACAAAAACGCTTTCCTGTTGGTGGAGGACCGTCATCGAACACATGGCCGAGATGAGCATCACAGTTAGCACAAAGGACTTCCTGACGAGGCATAAAGATAATTGACATATCTAACTTTGATTTCACATTGTTCCCAATAGGCTGGTAATAGGATGGCCAACCCGTTCCACTATCGAACTTAGTAGAAGATCTGGTAAGAACAACACAAGTGATTCAGTTCAAGAAAACCACATCATGTCAGGGTAAAAGAATATAACAACATTCAACGTATTACTTACTCAAATAACGGCGTGTCACAACATATGCAATGGTAAGTTCCTGGGGTCTTAGTATTCCAGTACTCCCTGAAATTTACAAGATCAGCATGAGAATACAATCCTATAGATAAATTTATAATCCACATTAACTCGTCTATCTAACGAGCAATGCTCCTCCTCAAACCTTGAGGCCCCTCTGCGGACTAAAGCTCAATAGCTACTAGTGGTTAGACCATAGTCACAGGATCCAGCAGACTAGTCAACAATCTCTCAATAAAATGGTTAAATCATATATCTTTGACACAATCTTTTGTCAGCCCAAAAAGAGGTTAAAAAACATAACCCGAAGAAAGACACATTCTTGTGAAACTATAATAGGAAACGAGAGTTGTCTGCATTCAAATTTGTTTCTTGTAAAAGACTTAAACCACATGAAAATGCCACAAACAACTCCTGAAAGCTTATCTCCGATATTTTATGAACCATGAAAATTATATAAAAGAAAAATTGATAGATTCTTTTTTACATCAAAAGCAACAAGATCAATTTATCAGGCATATGTTATTGTGTCCTTTTTCTTTTCTCTTTTGCAGTAATTGAAGACCGTCTGACAGAAAAAAGGGAATTGATATCACTGTTTGCAGTTGGAAGTTGCTGCTTCTAGTCTCTAACATAAGGTAATAGTTGGAGTCTTATAATGGTTCAGAATATAAGCAACCCTTTGGCCATTTAACTAACTTTAACCAATTTTTTGGTATGTGTAAAACGCTAGAAGTAGTTATTGAAGAAAAAAATTAAGCATTAAGACACGGCACAAATAATAAAGCCAAAGCCAATATCACCGAACAGTTAATGCCTAACGAAAACCTACAATAATAAAATCCATTCAACAAACATACCCAGTGAAAGCCCTTTCAGTCCCCTTTTGGCGAGTAATATAAAATTGTTCATTTGTCAGCCTCTTCTTCCATTCTTCATCGCTCAAAGATTTATGATCCACAGCTCCAGCCCCTGCATGACAGCAAGGAGAACTCTTGAACAGTGAGTCACAATTTAAATTGATTTATTGTGATCATGCGCAGGATAGGGCAGTGCTGAAAAATGTATTGACTTATCTAATCAGCCATAGAGATAAATATCCATAAGTTCATGCATCAAATTGACTATTCTTTTGACTAACTTTAACCAATTTTTTGTATGTGTAAAACGCTAGAAGTAGTTATTGAAGAAAAAAATTAAGCATTAAGACACGGCACAAATAATAAAGCCAAAGCCAATATCACCGAACAGTTAATGCCTAACGAAAACCTACATAATAAAATCCATTCAACAAACATACCCAGTGAAAGCCCTTTCAGTCCCCTTTTGGCGAGTAATATAAAATTGTTCATTTGTCAGCCTCTTCTTCCATTCTTCATCGCTCAAAGATTTATGATCCACAGCTCCAGCCCCTGCATGACAGCAAGGAGAACTCTTGAACAGTGAGTCACAATTTAAATTGATTTATTGTGATCATGCGCAGGATAGGGCAGTGCTGAAAAATGTATTGACTTATCTAATAAGCCATGGAGATAAATATCCATAAGTTCATGCATCAAATTGACTATTCTTTTGAGTATTATGATTCAACAGTAGACAAGCCATAGAGATAAATATTCAACAGTAGATGCAAAAAACAGAAGCCCCCATGATGAGTCTAGTTTAATAAAAGCAGGAAAGAATTAATGGTTCAAGCTCAATCCGCTCGGCAGCAGTAATAGAAGAATTGCGAAAAACCGAAAAGCTTTAACGTTGACCATTAAACAGTGTATAGATGGTGAAAAATTAACACCAAGAGAAAGTCCATTTCATTCTCTTACAATCACGACCAAAACCTGAATTGCCATCGCAAATCTTCGTTGAAATTCTCTTTGCACTATGAAGATATCTTTCAACTAAATTGAAGAGAACCCACTTTTCAATTTCAGGATAGGACAAAGACCACATATATCAGCGATCACTTACCTTCGATGCCGTCGGCTTTCTGGGAAGAAGCTGATGATCCCATTGCCCGAATTGACGACAAAATCTTTCTGGGTTTGTCAGGAAATCGCGAAGGGCACGCAAAAAATTCAAGCTGAGGAGCAAGAAATCTCTTGGATGGAAAAGGAATGTGTGATGTTGGTAAACTTAATCTGTGAGATGCCATTGCTTACGTTCCTCCCTTATACAGAGCAATGACCGGCAAGCTAAAACGACTAGAAGAATAACACCGTTCTACGAGGGTTGATTCTGTGCTACGCGCTCAATATCTGATTTTGCTACTTCTTATCCGGAACCATCGATTTCAGATTTCAACGTTCGGTGGGTGCGGTTCGGAAGGATGGCTGTTTTTTGTTTTGACACGTGTCGGTTAATTATAGGCATGCGAGCTGCTCCTGAGAACAGGCCATGTATTAGCCACGTGGAAGTTTTGCCTCCTCTAGGCTCTGGAGTCGAGATCGCGAGACTGGTATAATCTAGAACTAGTTGAGTGCTTAGGACCAAAACCAACTCAAGAATTGGGTCCTATATTAAGGACCGGGGGAGTATTATACTACCTCCGGCTCTAATTATAATTATAAGAGCTAATTAACTAATTTGAAGATATTAAAAAATAAGTTAAGTTAGTTATTTGTAATAAATAAGTATTGTCTTTCCTAAAATATCCTTTCTAATCAAGTGTATTGGTTATAATTACCATTATTAGAATGACTACTTTGAAAAAAATGCATAGATATGAGAGATAAAATAGATTGAAATCTTATATTTAGGATCAAAATAAAAGTCAAATAAGATCTTTTTTTTTAAAAAAAAACAAGGTCTTATATTAAAGACTAGAAGAGTATTTTAAGATAATACTTACATTAAATTTCTTATATATATAGTGTCAAGTTTTCTAATCATATATAACTATGTGTAATATTTTTAAAATATTATTATTTATTTATAAATGTATTTGAGACCAAAAAAAATACATATAATCATATATGACTTGAGAATTTAATAAAATAGATATAAAAAATTTGATCCAGTTTTTTCTGACACTTTCCTTGAATTGTTAAGATGGGCTTCATATAAGCTGATCCATTGGCGTTGCGATTTTAATAACTGTTTCACTCAGATGGCCCAATTGATATTAGTAATGGAGAGAAATTCTGTTTGAGTTATAAAAAATGAAAACTTTTAATTTAAGAAAATTTATCATATTCTTATTCTTATTAATTAATGTAATTGTGACGATGACAGTTTATTTCTGTTCTTTTATGTCTTTATATTTCTGTCAACATTTTGCTTTAAATAATTAGTTCATATCTTTTGTCAGTTAGGCTGGGGAAACATCTAAAATTTCGTTTGCTGGGTGGAATTACTTTTTGCTTAAAAAGAAAAATGAAAGGAGGGGAATACTTATGAATTATAAATTCGAGCAAGCTTTACTCTATTAAAATTTTATTCCTAAATAAAAAATAATAATAAAGTCATCTAATTCTCTTTGTTACTCATGTTCAGAAATTTGAGACAGGTAAAGATATTATGAAAACTTATTGCGATTTTTCAGAATTCTTTTTAAAGACAAGATATCGCATTTAAATTTTTTGGCCAACAATATATCACATTAATTATAGGAGAAATCCCAAAAAAATGATTGTTAAGTTTCAAAATTCCAAATCAATAAAAAATTTAACAATAATCTTTTTAAGAATTTTGCCTTAATTATATTTACAAATATTTTTTAAATAAAATGATAGTATAAAGACAACATTGAATATGGTAACAATGTTAGGCAAAGGCTAATAGTTTGGGTAGGGCTGTTTACAGGACAGATCAGGACCGGGACAGACCTGTCCCGTCTCGTCTCAGTGTTGTCTCAATCCTAGTCGAGACGGGACGAGACAAGGACGTCCCGATATTTTTTTAATTTTCTCTTAATTTTTTTAATAAAATCTGTTTTTTTTTCTAATTGTAGTTTTTTGGACTTAAATCTTGTAAAAACATATTTTTGTTTTTTTTAATTTCTTTGAGCACTCTTAAATAAAAGCTTAAAATATTACATATTATAGTCATTAAAAACTCTAAATAAAAGCTTTTAATATAATAAAAACTTGCTAGAAATTCTAATCATCAATAGTCTCAAATTATCAACAAGTATAAAAGCTCTAAATAAATATATTCATAATTTCATACAATAATTTCAAATCTTAAAAAAATAATATTACATAAATAGGAAAAAAATAAAAGGGACTGGGACAGGATGACCCCGTCCCATGTCCTGTCCTATCTTGGTCCCTTTTTTTATCCCATCCTATCCCGGTCCCTTTTTTTGTCCCATCCCATCCCAGTCTCTTCTTTTGTCCTATCCCGATTTGTCCTGTTCCAAAAAATTTTGGGACGGCCTGTCCCATCCCAATAAAATCGGGACTGGAACGGGTTGATCGGGACGGGCCGGCCTTGAACACCTCTAAGTTTGGGACTAATGCCTTGCCACTAATCGATCCAATCCTTAAGAGCTAGTTTGATATTTAATGTGATCATAAATACAAAATTCAATTCACTTTATATTTTATATTTATTTATTTTTTAAATAATTCTTGTATTAGCTGCACATGTTTTTTTTTTACTAGAGTAAGAGTTATATATGTTAATGTTTCATCAAATTACAGTTCTAATTAAGACACATGATTAGTAATAATATTTTAAGAAAGATAACACCTATTTATTATAAATAGCTAACTTATTTAATATTTTTAATTTACTTAAAGTAGTCAACTAATTATTATGTTAAGTATCATAGGTATAATAATAATAATAACAATATTTCCTATATTGTCTGGAAATTAATATTTTAAATATTAAAAAGTTAATTAACTAATTGATTCCCCACCGCCCATGCCATGGATAGGCGTGGGCGGTGCATTTAGGCGATTTCACCCTAATAGACAAAGGAGGGATCCCTATGTGCCTGATATTTAAAATATATAAGTTTTATTTATTTTTATTGTCATTTACTACAATAACGACTCATTTCACATTTATTTTTAATTAAATAGTTATTATATTAAAAACTCAGTAGATAATTAAACGAAGAATTTTAAAAAAACAGCATATATTTTTGTAAAATATAATTAAATTAATTTTTTAATATTTATAAATTAATTATATATTTGTAGCATAAATAAAATTGAATTACTTTGAAGTCATACTTGCACTAACAAATCTTTAACGGTCTTTGTGGAAGGGAAGGGCTTTTATTGAAGCACCATCTTTTGTGGAAATAAATAAATAATTCCTCAGGGAACATGACAGCTAAGAAGGGGCGGAAGGATGACGAAAAGCAACACCAACCATGCAGAAAAAATCATAAAAGGATTCGCATATATAATACTCCTCCGGTCCTAATTATAAGACCCAATTGACTTATTTGAGGAGATTAAGGAAGTAAGTTAAGTTGGTTATTTATAATAAATAAGTGTTGTCATTCCTAAAATATCCTTGCTAATTAAGTATATTGGTTAAAACTATCATTATTAGAAGGATTATCTTGGAAAAAAATGCATAAATATAAGAGACAAAATGGATTGGGTCTTATAATTAGGACCAAATAAAAAGTCAAATTGGGTCTTATAATAAGGACCGGAGGAGTAAATATCTATTAGTAATTTCCAGGTGATTTCGTTTGTTTCTTCGGGGAGTAAGAGAGTCAAAGAGTCAAAAGACTCAAAGGTAGGAGGAAACAAAATACTCCTGTGATGCTAAATATAAAATTAATTTTATAGTGTAAATTATATTATAAAATAAGTTTTATATTTAGAACTGAAAGAGTACTATCTTTGTCTTTAATATAAAAACTAATTAATTAATTTAAATAGATTAAAAAATTAATTAAATTTGTTATTTGTAATAAATAAGTGTTGTCTTTCTTAAAATATCATTGCTAATCATGTGTATTGGTTAAAACTATCATGTGATGATATCTTTTAACATGTACAACTACTGTAAGGACGATCTTAAAGAAAAAAGTAAATATGAAAAACAAAATGAATTGATATATTATATTTAAAGTTAAATTAAAAGTCAAACTAGTTTTTATATTAATGATTGGAGGTAATATATTTGATCTTATATTTGGAAGATTATATATTTGGGCCATATAAATTTATTCATTGGAAAAATTGAGATTGCGTGTATTTTTATTTTCAAATTGATTTTCATTTTATATCTTTTTAACGTGTACTGCACCGCACGATGGCCAGCCCTTACTCCTTAGTTGTTTCTTTCTTTTTGGAAGAATTACAAAGAAAACAATTGAAAAACAAGTCCCAGAAATTATCATTCTCACTATAAAATTTGTTATTATAAGCTGTTGAGATTGTTATTAGAACTTTTTAATAAGTATTTCTTTTATATAAGATTTGATTGTATTTTTTTTTTTCTGTGGGTAATTTTTGACCTTGGAAAGAAAAGTGTTGGGGAAGATGGGTCCCAGCGTCAGAATATCAAGCATTCAAAGAATATCCATCCTCCTCCCATCAAATGAATCTTCGTTACAGATAAAATATCACATCGTCTTTATTTCTGGACCTCTGTTTTTCTTCTTATTGCATGTGTTGGAAGTATCTCACCTTATAATGCTGCAACACAGTGATCGTTTGGGTTTGCTTAACTAAATACTTATAAATATATTTTACAACAAAACTTCTCTTATATATTTAATTTGTATTCTGTAGATTACAATTTAAAAACTATTTATAAGTTATTCTGAATGGACTCAATAATCTTTCAATCAATTAGGAAAGAAATGTTAAACAACATGTGGTTTAAATTATTGGCCATGTATTTTTTATTTTGCCGACACTTGAAAAGCTTAAATGAGGTAATGAGTTTAAGCCTAATATCAAGGTTCTATATATGTATTCAAATTAATTGTATTAAAAATCAGTTAAAAAACAAGAAGGAATTCATCTAATCACGAAGGTAGTATTGAACTTCCAATTTTTTCAAAGAGAATTGCTATAAAATTTTAATTACTAAAAAATGTTAATGATAAGTAAACAAGATCAATCTATTGTTATTTTCTGTATTAAAAGTTGTTATTATATGCTTTTTACTCATTAATGGATTTTTTTAGTGATTAAATTTTTTCCTTGGAATCTATTCTCCCTTCTTTTATTCTTAGAGCTTGAAATTAATTAGTAAAAGATTTTGTAGAGCCAGATATGGGCAATTTAGGG